ATTCTACATAACTGTAGAATAACTTATGTTGAAATGATCACTTGGAGTTCATCTGGCCCACCCCTCACTCCAGGCAGGCACAGCTTCAGAGTACCAAAGGCCAGGGGATTCCTGACTGTTTTGCTGCAAGACAGACTTTCACTTCCCAGTGACTTGGGAACTGGAGCAGTGTTTGCTGCTTTGAAAGAAATGAGACATTTTTAGCTCTTAAGATCACCTTCCAGAATTCCTGGTATGCTGTAGTCTGATGCTGTTCCTTCAAGCAATCTTGTCTGGTGCTGCTCCGTGCTACTCACCTGTTACATGGGAAGTCCTCTCTTTGCAATGTTGCAAGTTACATGAAACTAAATAGCACTGCCAGCAAGATTTTTCTGCACCCATCTGGTTGATTGGGGAACTCCTTTGCTGAAAAATCCCCCATTTTTGTCCAAAAATATAAGTCCTGTGGTTAGTCCTAGTCCTGGGAATTTCCTGCTGTTTCATATGGTGAAATTGGTGGATGGCATGAACTCAGAAACGCTGAGCTCTTTGCAGTGGTTTGGCCTTTCAAGAGAAGTTCTGGGAAAAAAATTGCCCCTGTGCTTGAGAGGTCATGCTGGAGGCCCTGTGGAGGAGGGAAGTTAGTTTATTGCTTTGGAAAAGGGTGTTTGTGCTCCAAAGTGTTAGACTGCAGTCTGCATAATGCTGCCTTATCTACCTGATCATGGTTAGCATGAATTAACATGGATTCCTGCAGTTCTCCAGCTGTCAGGCACTTTCTTCCTTCTTGGTACCTGGAGGGAAGGGCAGGGACACTCCAGTTTGCTCAAAAGGAGGAACTAAAGCTGTGATTGCTGCTGGCATCCTACTCCTGGCTTTATTGCTATTTGAAAGAATCTAGGTGATAACAGCCTTGGGAGGAGGACTTTGAAGTGCCCGTGAGAGGCCGGGGAGAGGGCATGAAAGTAATGAAGGGCTTAAAATGGTGCCAAAGACTTGCACTTAATGCTTTTCAATGACCTTGGAGGTGAAAGTTTTGTGATCCTTTGTATTTCACTGTGTTCAGAAGGTGAAATCTTGCCATGTTAGCTTCAAAACAGCTGCTAGCCCAAGGGAGGAGAACTGATATGGGAGTTTGTGTCTGGCTTGATGCTGCTCACACAAGAGGAGGAGTGGAGATGTACCAAAAGTCAGGGAACAGGTTACAAACGAACTAAGGAGATCATACATCCTTCAGCCTTCCCTGGAGCTGCCTGTGAAGGGATCAATGGCAGGGAAGAGAGATGCTCCCGTGGAGCTCAGAGGTGGAGGAACTCTTGTGTGTGTGAAAAAGCAGTGACCTGATGGGAAATGCAGGGGAGTACATGAGGGTGGGAGGCTTAACTGGACGGTGGTTACATCAGTGGGACAGGCAGGAGCAGCATCAGGCACTCTCTTCATGGGGCCCTCAGGCATGTGGGGGTGATAAACTCTTCAAACACTGACTGGGAAGCTTGCTGCCTGTGACCTGGCCAGCATCTCCCAAAATAGTCACCTCACAGTGAGTAACTTCCTTTGCGCTGTTCCCAGCTCTCCCTGGCACGTAAATCCTGTCTCCTAGTTCCTCCTGCCTTCCTGTTTGGAGAGAGGAGGGTTGCTGGGAGAGGCCTTCCAAGGGTCCTTGAGCTGTTGGGTTTCAGCTGGGAAAGTCTGCTGGGCTGGGTGGGAGGTGTAATGTCAGGGTTACATCCTCTGTCCCTGCTCCTGGTTCTGAGCTCCCAGCCTTCACCTGTGCTGTTTGGGAAGAGGGATATGCTGCTGTTCCTCGGGCGTTTGCTGGTCTTCACTTCCTTTTCACACGCATCTGAACTGTAGATTAGGCTGCTTGTCACTGAAACGTGTTCCCAGTGGGAAGGGGAGCCAGCAATTATCCCTCCTGCCAGGAGTGCACTTTCCCACAGAGCCTGGTCTTTAGGGCAGGGAGCCACTTGCTGCCTTGAGGCCCCTTCTGGGTTTGAAGACAAAAGCAGAAGCAGATCCTGTCCTCCCTGCAGTCATTTGAGGGAAGATCAGAAGAGCTTGGATGGGGAATTTGAATTTTTAGTCTTCCCTCCATGCTCCTGGAGGTAATGGTCATGTTTGTGTTGGAAGTAGACTCTGCAGACTTCCTTGTGTAAGGTGTCCCACAGCAGACGGGACAAGGTTTCTGCTGAACCTTGCCCCATCCCTGGTGTTTCCAGCTTTGTAGACTTCAGGATTGCTGTCCAGAAAAACTTGCTTTGGAGCTAGTGCATGATGCTATCTGCCTTCCACAGCATGGAGGGGACTACATGGAAGGATAATGCTGGAGACTGGCCGTGGTCTGGAATTCACATACAGACTGTCATCTCCCTTCCTCTTAGAACTGTTCAAGTAGTTGGAGTAAACTTTAGCACCACAGTTCTCCTCTCCCTCCATGCTGAAAGGAACAGGTCGGAGGCAGTGCACACTTCTTCGGTTCCATGGATTCTCTGCTAGGATCTCTGCTCCACGGGTGAGCCGGTAGGAAGATCACACGATGCTGGTCCTGCCTGCTGCTGGCTCTGCAGCACCCTCTGGTGTTACTGGATCTGTCCCTCGGCTGCTCCTGTTTCCTCCTTTCTGTCCATTGCTTGACTAAGGAAGTGCCGAGGGGAGCAGCCTCGCAAAGGAGTTAAATGCTCTCGTATATATTCAGTTGCTGAACATCAGCCAGTGGCTGGGTTATGGACTTTTGGACCTCACGTAATTCAAGTGTTCCCCTCCTTTACTGTCATGCTTCTGTGTGGGCTGAAACCTTCCTTTTCATAGTCTCCACCTGGAATGATTCCTGATTGTTTTATGTGGAATTAGAAAACTATCTGCCTTTTCTTTTTCTTTTTCTTTTTTTCTTTTTTTTGGTTTATTCTCCTTCCTGTCTGACATATCCTGACAGTTATTTTGCAGAGGACACTCAGATTTGAAGAGAATCCTCCTTCCTCCTTTTGTTGTCTCAATAGCCAGGACTCAGCTGGTGACATGAGGAGGACGCAGTTGTTTTCTTCTTTCCCTTGCATAAGATGTCCCTGTTGTGCCAGCACTGCAGGAGCAGCATCTTGAGCTGGAGTTCCTCACAGTGAAGCATGAAACCCAAAGATGGCTCTTTGTAGTCGTACTGTTGTGAAATTTAAAAGAAATTTCTCAAAAATCAGGAAAAAACATAAAATTTAAATATTCTGCTGTTTGTGAAATTTAAAAGAAATTTCTCAAAAATCAGGAAAAACATAAAATTTAAATATTCTGCTGTGATTTTTTTCTTTTTTTTTTTTTTAAAGCTTATGCCTGGCTCTGCTAATTAATTCTTTCCCTGTTTGTTGTTTTCCACTGAAACACCCTGCTCGGATGCAGATGAGGTCATCTCAATAGTCAGGTTTTGGGGTTTGCTGCATACGTCCTGTTATCGTGCATGTCTCCACCGCCCCATTGTTCTGTCTGCAGCACTAGCATTCATGCTAATTCTGTGCCTAAGCTCCTGACTTGGACTTGGCACACACTGTGGTTGCCATGCTGCTGACCCAAATTCCGGCTGCATTAGGAGAGGGCCTTCCTCGCCAGCTTGCAGACCCTCTGGCTCTGAGGGCCGCCATCAACAGTGCTTTCTGGAATTTGGGAAGACCAAGGGCTGTGTGGTGCTGCCTGTGATCAGCTGTTGGGAACCTGCTCCCGAGTGTGCACTGCAGTTAAATTGCAAAGATATCGTAGGTTGATTTTAAACCAACACGTGCATAAAGACACTGACAAGGCACCTGCCAGCTGACTGTGGGGTGTGTAGCTGCAGGTGGAAAAGAACCCTCAGCCAAAATGTGGATTTGGTAACCAGAGGCTGTTTTTGAGGTGGGGAAGAGTGGCCCAGCTCTAAATGTAGCTGTTGGGGATGATTGTCTGGCTCTGTGCTAAGCTGGGTTGAACATACAGGGATAGAGGTCCAACAAACAGTAGCCAGATGGATAAGGCTGTGTGGGTGAGAACCTGAATCTGTTGAAACTAGTGGGGAGGTTTTACTTGTGCTACTGGAGAGGGTCCAGCAGAGGCCACAAAGATGATTTTGGGGTTGGAGCATCTCTCTAATGAGGAGAGACTGCAGGAGCTGGGCCTGTTTAGTCTGGTGAAGAGAAGACTGAGAGGGGATCTCATCAACTCACATAAATATCTCAAAGGTGGGTGCCAAGAGGATGGTGCCAGACTCAGTTCACTGGTGCCCAGTGACAGGATGAGGAGCAGTGGATGTAAACTAAAACACCAGAAATTTCATCTCAACAGGTGGAGGAAGAACTTCTTTACATTGAGGGTGGCAGAGCACTGGAGCAGGCTGCCCAGTCTCCCTCTCTAGAGACATTCCAAACCCACCTGGATGCATCCCTATGTCTCCTGCTCCAGGTGACCCTGCCTTGGCTTTGGGGGGGTTGGACTGGATGATCTCCAGAGGTCCTTCCAAACTAACAATTCTGTAACTCCGTAAGCAGAGTTGGGATTTCTTCCTCTTTGTCTCCCTCATCATGGTCTGACACTATCCTCCTCTTTGTTCTTGTTTCCGCAGAATATCCAGAAGATGCTCGGTCTTGCTCCTTCCCGGGCTGCCACCAAGCAGGCAGGAGGCTTCCTTGGCCCCCCACCTCAGGCAGGGAAGTTCTCCTAAAGCACAGCCTTCATGGAAGGCCTGGCCAGTGCACTAGACTGCCTTTGGGAGGTAACAAGATGGGATTCTGCACCAGGCATCACCTGTCCAAACAAAACCAGGCTATGCAGTATTGAAATCATCATCCATTTGGAGTGTTCCACCAGCAGGAAACATCTCTGAGAAGATAACTCGACCTTTTGTTTCTGAGAAATAAACGGCATGGGCATGTTAATTAATGAATGTGTCTTAATTGGGTGATGGAGCGCCGCCCGGGGCCGCGGGCTCGGCTCCATCCCGGCGGGCACGCCCCTGGATGGGGCGGGACCCGCGGCCCTGGCGGGGGAAAAGCGTCGGTGGAGGAGGCGGTGCCTCTCGCCGCGGCGCCTCTCGGGATCCCACCGATGTTTGCGCAGACCCGGCTGCCCACCCTCCTCCCCCGGCTCTGCGCACTCGCTCCCAGCCTCGCCATGAGCAGCGCCACCGGCACCGTCACCATCCAGCAGCCCCTCAACTACCGGGCGGGCGCCCGCGTCCAGCCCGCCGACGGCGGCCAGGTGGAGGAGGTGTATGAGCCGGCCACAGGTACCGCCCGCAGCCCGCTGGGGTGGGGGTAACCCTGAGCCCGAGGGGTCGGTGCAGGGGAGAGCCTCCGGGGTACCTCTCTGCGAGGCCTGGGTGCCACCTGTGCGGGTGTCTTGCACGCCCTGCTGCTCCAGCGCCACCGTGCTTTGGTGGCCCTTCTGCCTCCAGCCTTTCCCCATCGTCAGTCTTTAACAGCAGAAGCCAGCTCTCGTTGTCAGTCAGGCAAAAAACCCAGTGGTGCTTGATCTTGGCAAAACTCCACGATTTAAATATCTCTAAAGTTATTTATTTTTAGTTATCAGTGCCTAGGGTTCAGCGGAATCACTTCGAGAGTGTCTAACGACTCTGAGGAATGTGTAACAGAGTCCTGAAGATGGTGGTAGAAGTGTAACAAACTCCACTGGGAAAGAGAGGAATTTTGTAACAACTGGAGCCAATTAGTAACTAGAACGTGGCTGTGGAGGGTGCAGCTCTTTTAATTCAGACCAGCTGAATTACAGCACTTCTTCTACAGCAAATTCCCACAAATCAGTGGGAATCATGGGGGAAGTTCTGTCCCTGGTATGGGAGGCTGGACTGATCTATTTGGGTTTTGGTGCAAGGTAAACCATGTTCTGAGCCCCTTTTCTGAGACTTCCATCTTATTTATCCCCTGTTTAAAACGTGCCCAGGTCGTGTGCTATGCAAGCTGCCCTGCTCTGGTGAGAAGGAAGTTGATCTGGCTGTGCAGAGTGCAAAGGCTGCCTTTAAAATATGGAGTCAGATGTCTGGCATGGAACGATGCAGGGTGATGCTGGAGGCTGCCAGAATTATCCGGGTATGTCGTGGGAGACAGCTGCATCTTTTGGGGAGGAGTGGTTCTGTCTGTGAGCTTCTTTGTGGGTTACTGTGGCTGTTGGGGCCTTCCAGCAGGCTTCCAGAGCTCCAGGAGAAGCTCAGGAGTTAAAACCCACCTTTGGCCAGAAGAGACAGGAGGCTGCCTTGGGCAGGGGTTTGCTCTTATCACTGAATTCAGCGCCCGTTTGTACAGCTTTGGTCTTATCACTGGATTCAAGGCCAGTGTGTGCCATCTCAGCTTAATTCTGTTGGAAGACATATAAAACTGAAGCCATCCGGTCCACATCTTGCAGGGCTTGTGCTTCTTTAAACAACTCCAAAGATTAACTGCACAAGATTTCAAAGCTAAAATTGCATAACTCGCATTGTTGAACTTTTGGCTTGTTGGAGGCTGTTGTCACATGACTGGAGTGTGCCTTGGCAGTAAGAGAAAATAGGAATACTGGCTTTTTTCAGATAATACAAGTAGGAGAGGATACACTTAAGTGAGCTTTATCACAAACTTCTTTGTGACATAAGGTTCTTGAGCATCAAAGTTAATCTTCATCAAGGCACCGTTCTGTGAGAACCCAGACCTTCTTTCCCCAGTGTGTATATGTCATGAGAAAACTGTTTTGTTTCTGCCAAATTCCTGCTCCTGCCAGACAGCAGGATAATATTTCTGCCTGGGAGCTGGTCTGTCCCTAGCCGTGTTGCTTTCCCTGTCCTTCACTGAATCCTCTGGTTCCATCCTGGTCTTGCTGTTTGCTCTTCTTCCCAATTTAGTTCTGCGAACTCTAATCCTTGTTTGCTAGCCAGCTTCTAAGTTCGTGTTTGTTCATGTCTTAGATAAACAGGGATGTTAAGCAAGATTGGACTAGCAGTGAACCCCAGCACCTTTCTCTTTGACATTCCCCTGTGCTCAGTCACCACTGGGAAATTGATGTATAGCAATTGGGAATGACCCTTTTGGGGATGAAAGTTTCCCATGTCAGAATCTCGTTTGGGACTCACGTGCCTGGGAAGCAGCTGTCTCCTTGTGGAGTTCTACTATGGGCTTCTCTAATGTGCTGTCTCTGTCCTATGCCTCTCACAGGAGCAGAGAGAAGAAATTGCCACCATGGAAACCATCAACAATGGCAAATCCATCTTTGAAGCCAGAGTGGACATCGACATATCCTGGCAGTGCCTGGAGTATTACGCAGGGCTGGCAGGATCTCTGGCTGGTGAGGATGTTGCTGGGGTTTGCTCTTTGTTCTCTGTCCCACATTCCCTGATATCTCTGATGGCACAAGGCCACCTTTGCTGCTGATTTCTGTAAGAGATGGACCATTCCATTTTCTGAATGTCTTTGAGAGATCTCTGCCTGATGCTGCTGTGGGCACTCACACACCTTCTGTGAGCTTGCTGGGGTAAAACCGTGTGTCTGTTCTCAGGCAAATCCAGGTCTGACCCCTAAAGCTCTGGTAAGAGAGGAAGGGCCTTTGCTCTTTTCTACCTTCTGGCTGTTTCTTTGCAGGTGAACACATCCAGCTTCCTGGGGGATGCTTTGGGTACACTCGGAGAGAACCACTCGGGGTGTGTGTTGGGATTGGAGCCTGGAATTACCCTTTCCAGATTGCCTGCTGGAAGGCTGGCCCGGCCTTGGCTTGCGGTAATGGGGACCTGCCCACACAAGCATCTCGTCAAACCAACTCATCCTGTGGGGAAGAGTGATTTGGGGGATAAAGTCTAGGATTACCTTGAAGTGTTGAAGGATTAGCAGAACCTTCAGGCTGTTGCTCTGGCAGGAAGGGAAAGGAAATGAAAGCAGGAACATCTCAGATGTCAAGAGGGTGGGAGTGCATCACGAAAAATGCTCATAGCTTGGCTCTGTACCAGAAGAGGAAGGTCTCTGGAAATGTCTGCGGGGCAGGACCAGCAGTCCCATCTCCCCCAGCCCTTCCCAGCAGGAAGTGCACCCTTTTGCTAGTTGTCAGTGATCAGCTGAAAGTGTTTCCTCCTCTTTTGGGGGAAACTTATGGCATCTGTTGAGACAAAGTCATTGTGTGTGGTGGGGATTTGTTTTGTTTTTTACCTAAAGCATTTGGGGTGTTAATTCCATTTTGCCTCTTTCTGGGTTCCCTCAGGCAATGCAATGGTCTTCAAGCCTTCTCCCTTCACCCCTGTTTCTGTGGTGAGGTTGGCAGAGATCTTCACAGAGGCCGGGGTGCCCAAGGGGCTCTTCAATGTGGTGCAGGGTGGGGCAGCCACAGGCCAGTTCCTCTGTCATCACCCAGATGTGGCTAAAATCTCCTTCACTGGCAGCGTGCCAACTGGCATGAAGGTAAAGGCACCTTTGCACTCGAGGACACAGGGGGCCTGTTGTCAGTATTTCCTTGAGGTTTTTCAAATGAGGCTTGTAAAAAAGGGGTGCAAGTTGGCATTTTTGGGACTGAGCAAGGAGGTGGCACGTACAGAGTCATGCTGGGGATCCAGGCAGCCTGCTGGTCTTGGGCATTTGATCCTTTCAGAGGAACCCCTTGGTCATCTTCACTTGTTTACCCGTGGTTGCAGTGAAGTCTCTGAGCTGCCTAAGTGGATGTCGATGTGGGGAGGAGGGTATGTAAAACAGCACCACTGAGAAACTGCCTGAGTGTTTCTGGCAGTAATAATTCAGTTCAGCTGCATGCAACCTACTGTTTTCAAGCAAGAGGTTAATATCTGTGAATTTGTCACCCTCAATTTATTATTCAAAAATTAAAAGTCCCTGGAAGGACATCTAGAAATAAATTCTGATTTTGAAAGAGGGGAAATGTCCTTTGAATGCTCCCTGTGTGTGTGCACGTGTGGGTTGCAGTGACACAGGTGCAGCTGCAGCTGCTGGCAGCTTTTGCTGAACATGAGGATTCCTGCAGATGCCTCCCCAGGTTCTGTTGGTTTTATCTTTAAAAGAATAAAACCCAGACTCTCTGAGGTTGTCCTGAGTCTGAACTAAGCACATCTAGAAACCCAGCTTACCCTTCGTGCTGCTTCTCTTCTTGGTGAAGGGCCCTGCATGACCTCCCCCTTTGGGTCTCTCTTGCCTCTCTCCACCAGCCTCCCCCTGGCCAGTGGATCACTTGTTTCTTCTGTCCTTGTTTTCCTCAGATCATGGAGATGGCAGCTAAAGGGATCAAGCCAGTCACCCTGGAGCTGGGGGGCAAATCCCCCCTTATCATTTTTTCAGACTGTTCCCTGGAGAATGCTGTGAATGGAGCCCTCATGGCCAACTTCCTTACACAGGGCGAGGTGTGTATCCGTGGTGCAGGAATGGCCCTTGCCAGAGAGGCAGGGTGGTTTCACAATTGGGCAGTGGAGCCAGCTCGTGGTTTTCCTGGTGAGGGATGCCCTAGAGCTCCTATCTTGACACGCATTTCCCAGAAGGGATTAGAAGGGATGCCCTTGCAGAAGCCAGGGCAGGGTGTACCAGCAGAGCGTGCCTTAGCCAGTGCCCTGTCCTTTCCAGACCTGGAGCCTCCCTGACACCCAGTACCCAGCTCAGCACAGCTGCTCCTGTGTCCTGGGCTCCGGTCTGGCGCTGCTGGTGTCCTCTGGAGAGGCAGAAGGTTCCAGTCTGGTGTGCTGAGCTGCTGCACTATGGGGGTCTGTCCTTCCTAAATTTGGGATGTCCACACATGCTGCAGATTTTGTGTAATCCTTTGCAAATTTGCTCAATGAGGTCATTTCTGGGAGCTGAGAAGTCAGCTCAAGGTCTCTTCTGCTGGTGACCTGATGCGTTTTTGCCACCTGGTGGCATCAGAACCACTATGTCCAACAAGGACTGCTCAGTGCAGCCCAGGGCTGCAGGGTAATCCTGTGTTCCTTGTTCCCAGGGACAAGTTAACTCTTGTAGCAGCTGTGGAGGGGCTTTTCTGAGCATCTCTGTAGCAGGATCCAAGCAGGGAAGGACTGTGGAGTGCTGTGTTTCCTATTCTGAGCAGCCTGTCCTGTATCCCAGGTGTGCTGCAACGGCACGCGGGTGTTTGTGGAGAGGAAGATCCTGGATACCTTCACAAAGGAGGTGGTGAAACGCACCCAGAAAATCAAAATCGGAGACCCACTTCTGGAAGACACACGGATGGGAGCCCTCATCAACCGGCCCCATCTGAATCGTGTCCAGGGCTTTATCAAGCAGGCCAAGGAGCAGGTGAGGTCGTGATGCTGCCTTGACTGCCCTGAAAGCTCTCTCTCTGGTTAGGCAAACAGATTGGCAGCTGCCTTCCAGCCCCGTGCTTTCCTAGTGAAGCTGGTTTTTTTGTTGATGGGTGTTTTGGGCCACTAGATACACAAGTCTATGGGACCTGAGGATGCATCCTAGAGTCCTGAGGGAATTGGCTGAAGTAGTTGCCAAGCCACTCTCCATGATACTTGAGAAGTCAGGGTGGTCAGGTCCAGAGGAGGGCCACAAAAATTATCAGAAGGCTGGAGGACCTCGCCTGTGAGGAAAGGCTGAGAGTTGGGGTTGTTTGGCCTGGAGAAGAGAAGGCTCTGGGGACACCAGATTGCAGTGTTTCAGTTCATAAAAAGGGCTCATGAGAAAGATGGGGACAAACTTTTTAGTGGGGCCTGTTGTGATAAGACAAGGGCCAGGCAGAGCTGCAGCAACTGGGCAGGGTGCTCCTGGGTATGCCTGCCTACCTTCCTCTTGCCTCTTTCTCAGGGGGCTGAGGTGCTGTGTGGTGGGGACCTGTACGTGCCAGATGATCCAAAGCTGAAGAATGGCTACTACATGCGACCCTGTGTGTTAGGTATGATCCCTCCTGCTCGCGGTACTGTGGTCTGGTGTGTGGATGTGGCTGAATTTCTTCTAGAGAAAGCTGTGTTCAGCATAACCTGGCTCTGTGTGTGTCCCCAGAGTGGACAGGCACTTGCATGGGTGTACTGAACACCAAGAGAGGCTCCCAAGAGCTGCATCCTTCTGCTGTCAGAGGGTCTGACAGGAATTGTGCAGTTAGTGGCTTTTGAAATGCAGGATGGGACTCGCTCCTCTGCAGGGAGGCTGTGTAGTGCTGAGCACTGTCTCAAAGGCTGTGTGGGTTGCTGAATGCACAGGCTGTGCTGGTAGCTCTTCCTCCTGAGGCACACATCCTCTGCCATGCTTCCAGGGAACTGCAAGGATGACATGACATGTGTGAAGGAAGAGATCTTTGGGCCCGTCATGTCCATCCTGCCATTTGACACGGAGGAGGAGGTTTTGGAGAGAGCCAATGCCACCAAATATGGCCTGGCAGGTGGTGTCTTCACCAGGTATGACTGGGTAGTGTTGCAGGAAGTGTTCTAGGGAGGGGAGGAGAAGGGAAATACTGCAGCACCTTGATGCTGCTCTTGCAGTGCCTTGGTATGGGCATCTTCTTCCAGAAAAGCTGGACCAACAGATTGCCAAAAGGGAAATCTGTAAATGATGTATCTCTTAGTTTTTCCTGAAGTACTGGGTGGGCCTAGCTGTCCTTTGGACTCCTCCCAGCCTGTGCTGGTGTGCTGCCAGCCTTCCTGCATCTCCAGGATGCACCAGGAGCCTGCTATGCTGCTCTTGGCCACTTGCCCTAATCTGCAGTGCTGGTGTCCTTGTCCTGCCCTCGCAAATCAAACCAAATTTTAGTGTCCTCAGGAATAGGTGCTACATCCTTGGAGCAGGGAAAGACAGAGTAGGGCAGGTCAGGCTCCAAACCCCACCGTGACCAGCTGGCCTTTCTCTAATGGGATGTCATCTGTCAGGGAAGGGGGGGATGAATGGGAGCAGATCCAGCTGAATTGCTCTTTTCCTGAAGGGATATCCAGAAGGCTCACAGGGTAGTGGCGGCTCTCAAGGCTGGGATGTGCTTCATCAACAACTACAATGCCAGCCCTGTGGAGCTGCCTTTTGGAGGATACAAGTCATCAGGTGAGCTCTGTCTGACCTTCCCTGGTACCTACCTGTTACAGGGGCTGTGAGTGGCACCTGGCACTGCCTGGAGCTGCGTTCTCACTTCTGGCTCTTCCCTGCAGGATTTGGGAGGGAGAATGGACGGGCAGCCATCGAGTACTACTCGCAGCTGAAGACTGTCTGTGTGGAGATGGGTGATGTGGAATCGGTGTTTTAGGGGCTCTGGGTCCTGCTCAGAGGAGCATCAGCCAGCTCCTGCCTGTCAGCCAGGGATGTAGATCGTGTACCCAGCAATGAAGTACTCTAAAATTGTCAGTGCCTGGGGGGAACAGTGCTGGAGCAGCATTTAGCCACCCTGCTCCTGCAAGGGGGAAGGTACACACAGGGCTCAGTCTGGGGGCTTGCTGTGTCCTGCCTGGTGGACAATGGGAACCTTGGGGCAGGAGGCACCAATATGGCTTTTAGCAGCAGCTCTTGGAGCTGTGTGATGTTATTAGAAGCTTATCAGTGACCAAGGCCTGGCCCAGGCTGCTTCCTGTGCCGTGTGCCTTGGTTTCCATTGCCTTCTACCCTCAGTCAACTTCAGTTTTGGCTTCTTAACAGGTTGATAATACTCTATGCACATATAAGCTCTTGGACAAATTGATATCCTGGAGCTATAGGCTCTGTCTGTTGTCTGACTACATGAAAGCCTTAGGGTAGGACTGTTTATTCCCTCTAGCTCCCTTGTAACCACAAGTTTTGTTTTTTCTATCTGTACCTTACTTACAAGTGGGACAAAATATTGTGGGAAGGGTTGGCTGATGCTGCCTGGGACAGGCATGTCCCTGAGAATCACCTCCACACAAGAATGGTAGCAAGCTCCAGCATAGGATAATGAAAGCTATTTTACTTTCTCCCTGTAAACTTACTGTTCTTTATACACGTGATGAAGCAACAACTTTAAATGTTTGCCTATGTCTTTTTTTAACAATCAAATAAATACTAATCTGGAACATCTTAGCACAGAGTGACATAAATTGAGTGGTCCAGAAATGGGGCTGCTGCTGTGTGGGTTAAACAAGTTCCAAGGTGGCTTTTCAGTCACTAAAATCATAAAATCTAGAAAGAACATCTGTGCCTGACAGGCAGATTTCTGTAGTCCTGCAAAACCAGAGTCACTTTAGAATTCTGCAGAGCTTAAAGGAAACACTCTAAAACTTTAGAATGAAAATACAGAATTGAAAATTTCATTTTATTGAATGAGACAAGAAAAAATCTACAGGAAATGAAGTGTTCTAGAAGAAAACAGAACAAAACTCCCTTTAGCTTTTTGGGCAGCCCTGCCCTTGGCAGACCCAGCCCAGGTGCTGGCAGGCTGAACACACTCCTGTGCCCAGTAGCCCAAGGAGTGCCACTGAGCCAATGGCCCCTCTCCTTCGGTTTTTGGGATCTGGAAAAAAGGCAGGTTTTGTCAGTTCAGCAGCGCATCCAGACTAGCCCATCCTGGAAACTGAAGGGGGAGCAGGGACTAAAGATAAATCCCAAGGCAAAACAGCAGGCACCAGCCCAGGCCATGTACCTGCCCTCATAGCATAGCTATCCCTATTGGATGAGCGTTCTTCCCATCAGCAGGAAGAGTGTGCTGCAGTGTTAGCAGCCTGTGGACCTGCACCCTTTCCTCCACACCCCACTGGAAGCTTTATGCTGCCTCCCTGGTGTAAGCTGGAGCAAAGAGCCTCAAGGTCACTGTAGGAGACTTAAGATTCCACACACCCGCTGTGTGCTGCAGGGTAAAGACCTACCTCCCGTGTAGTAGCCATGGGCATAAAGGATTCTCCCAATGATCCAGGCGATGCCAAGCCCTGTGGCAGCCCGCTGGAGAGAAAGGAAAAGCATTAAAGTTTTGGAGACTTGAGCAAAGTCGTGCAGGCAGCAGGTGCCAAATCTCATTTCACCACTGTCCAGTTGGTGAGCCAGACCAAGGGCCAGGATCTTGGAGGCAGCTGCTGCCCCAGGTCAGGAGGTATTGCAAACTTCCACCTTGCATCTTAATCTATAGCTGGCTCCCATTTTCCAGATGTGCCTATGCTGCTTCCTTCCCTCTCCAAAAAGGAGTATTCAGGAAGGACCTGGTTTGTCTTTTAGGGGCAAAGATAAAGGTGTTGGCCTCTCCCACACACCTGCTTCCTCCTGAGTTGTCTATATCTTTCAGTTAAAAATAATCCAGGCTTTTTTGACCTCCTTTGGCAGGGCTTGGAAGAACCAGTCAGGGAGGGATGGAGGGACCCTCACAGGGAGGCTGTGAATGCTTCCCTTTTGTCCAGCAAGGCACCCTTAGGGGAAGGAAAGGGGTCTAGTAGCTGCAACAGCAGTAATGAGTTTATTAAATAGCTGTGATTCCCCTGCACAAGTACATTTTTAGAGTGGACACTGCTGTGCTGTGGCCAGTAAAGAGGCTAACTGGGCCTCCTGCCCAAGTCAGGCAGCAAGAGCAGAGTTTTGTCACACAGACCTGACCACAGTGTCACTTACCGGGTGGTAGATTCCACCGGTGGCTAAAAAGAACAGGAAGGCGGGATAAACTTCCAACCTGAAAATAAAAGTGAGGAGGTGGTGTTTGTGCTCAAGTTGCTTACAAAGAGGAAACTCCCGAAGGGCAGAAGCTGCGAACATCCCCTCCCAAGGGCTCTTTGGGCCTGTTATGAGTCTCTGTGCTCAATGCTGTGACTGAGGAAAGAAGGAATCTGAGCATGCACAGGCTTTTAGGGGCTTTCCCCAGCCTGTGCACGTCTCCAAAGGCCACCAACCCACTCTTTCAATTTTGTGCCCTAAGCCACAGCTAAATGCTACCCAGGAGTTGTGTCTCCAGCACCCCTCTGATGTGCTGTTGCAACCTCTCCACAGGAGCAGGGTTGACTTTGGCCTCTCCCCAGGGAGACCCAGGCAGGCTTTTCTGGAAACAAGATTCCTTGTGTCTTAAGATCCACCCATGGAGGCAAGTTGCTGGGAACTGGGGAAGAGGAGGCTGCTTCACAGCCTGTCTCACAGTTTAAGGCACGGGAAGGAGCCAGTACAGCCTTTCTGCTAAGCATTACAGGGCTGTGTGGTGTCCTCAAGTGCTGAGCCTGAACTGGAGCACGTGGCAGCTGCACCTCTGTAGCTGTGGGCCCTGCCCACAGCCCTGTGTGTCTCTAGGCCTGTGTTCATACATGTTACTCACGTGTTCTGGTGTGCACGCTGGATGCAGTTGAAGATACGCCCGTTTTCAGGGTCTGTGCTGTACATGGTTGGATACTGCCAAAAAAATAAACCAGCAGCAAAACATGAACAGGCACAGTCTGGGCTTGGAGCCTGTTCTCCAGCACAGGGAGTGTGCCCTGCAGCACCTCTCTCCCCAGGGCTGCCTGGGTGCTTGCTGTGGCAGGTTAGAGCCTGTCTCCTGCCCCATGGCCCACAAAAGCTGTGTTGAAGGTCACTGCCTTCCTCACCGCTGGAGCTGCTGCCTGGCTGCAGAGGCTTCCCCAAGCCTCAAATCCAGCCCTCTGTGCACCACGTGCACTGGGTACATTTGCTATAGTCCTGACTTGATGTAGTAGGAGTGGGATCACCCCAACAGGCACCTGAGGCTGTCCTTGTGCCCATCCCTGCTTGCCACTTCCGTGGTGAAAGAGCAAAGGAGCTCGAGGGTTTGTGCTCGAGCCAAGTGACACAGCAGCTCTACATGCAATCGCCCTGACTCACAATAGGACTGGCTGACCCCACCCAACCCACAGCCCTGCCTGGCTTAGAGGCTCCTCAGTGGATGCTTAGGGAAGGTCACCTTGAAACACTTCCTGTGACAGGACTCACATGCTCCCCCTGAGTTTGAGAAACCCTCCTGTCACTTTTGTTCCACTGACTCCTTTACCCCCCCCAATGCTGCATCAGCCATATTTGCAGCCATGTGGTTTCTTGCCCACTGATGTTGCCAAGCTGTCTCAGCTTGATGCCAAGTGCCTGATGTCCCACATCCTGAGCTCTGTTGTGCTGTCTGGAGAGCCATGACAGCTCCATCCCTTCGGCATCTGTGTGGTGGGGCAGGAAACGTCAGCAAGTCACCCCAAAAGAAGCAAGGTGTCACCTAGCCTGTCTGCAGCACCCCCAGCAGACAGGCTCCGACCTCCCCATCCCCTCGGCCTGAGCACTCACGTCCACGTTGTACTTCTTGCGGGCCTTGCCCACCTTCATGGCGAGATGCATGACCAGGACGAAGCTGGCAGCCCCGGTCAGCATGACGTACCCATACTCCTTGGAGAGAACAGCCATCCTGGTGCTGTCAGAGAGAGGGAGCAGATTAATATTTTGGGGTGTGACTGGAGAATTGGCAGCGTACAGTGCATGGATATGCGTGCGTAGAAGAGTTGCTGAGCGTGGATCCAAGACCTCCCAGCACAGGAACTGGCTGAAGGAAGAGAGAAATGGTGAGTGGGGGAATTTTCAGCTCTTGGAGCCAGCTGGGCATTAAGCAGCACAAAGCAAGAGATTTCTGCACAGTTCCTGTCAAGCAAGCCTTAAAATCACCTAAGCATTAGTGGGAGGCGATGTCTAGAGGACACTAGTCCAGCCTGTGGCTCTGAGCAGGACAACAGCCATCAATGTGTCCCATCAGCTCTGACTGTGCTGGTTGTGTCCCATCAGCTCACACAGTGCTATGCTGCAGGGATACTCTGGAGACAGGGAGAAAAAACTGATTGCTCATGAGCTAGGGGACCACCTTCCAACCCCAGAGCTGGGGGCCACCAAATGAAGTCAGGGAACACACTGGAAACAAACCAAGACAGGTGTTTTCTCATGCAGTGGGAACCAGACCTGTGGAACTCCTCGCTAAGGCACAATGTGAATACAGGCAGTCCTCATAAATTCAACAGGAAACTGGGCAAGCTCTGGGAACAAGAGGTAAATTGGACATTATGATACAAAGAAATACAAACTAGCTCAGAAACCCCCTGAGCTGAAAGGAGCTGGGCTACATAAATGGTTATTTTGTACCATTAAGGTGAATGCTAATAAATCGCACCACAATGGTAATAGTAACCGAACCTTTTGGGTAAAGAGGCGCTGGCCAGACGAGCGATGCTCGGCCCCACAGCTCCCAGGAGCCCTCTCAGTCACAAATCACTGACCAGCCCCAACAACACACAGCTGCTGGCAGCTACCAACGTCTGCACAAGCACCTCTGCGGCAGGAGGTACCAGGGCCTTTGTGGCTTTTGTTAAACAGTTCTGTGCTTCCTCAGGCAGCCTGAGACAGAACCACAGAGCAAGAGGAGCATCTTGCAGCCTCTGCCATGCTGTCCAGCATTGCATGTTCTCCCTATTTCCCACTCCCCATCCTGCCATCAGCCTGCCCTGCTCAACACGGAGCTCTCTGGCTCCCTCCCAGCACAAGAGAGCACAAGGGCCCTTCCCCACAACCATCTTGCACAATTCCAGACCTCAGAGGTTTTCTGGGTGACCCAAGAGGGTGCTGCATGACACAGCTCAGCAGAAGACAGAAGAGACTTCCCCAAGATAATTCCCTCTCCAAACCAAACACTGGTTGGCGCCCGTCTCCAGATGGCGACTGCACGACTGCATGATATAGTGAGGTTTTGGTGCCTCCTGCTCTCTCCCCTCAGCACAATCTGTCAGTGGGGGGGAAAACAGGCCACCTCACAGAACCAGTGCAAACAGCCTTCCTGTCGCAGCAATGTCAGCGCCTCTCACAAGGGACCTTCGGGGACTAGAGAGCTTTATTTCTCATTTGGATGGAGCAAGGTGAAGACAACAGCTGGCTTTGTCCGCATGAAGTTTGGTAAAAAATTATCAGTAAGAACATTAAAAGCCTAAAGTAATAAAGAAAAGTCAGCAGCATGCACCTGTAATTGAGGTTAGTGCTTGATAGAGACACACCGAAAATAGAACATGTTCCCACCTAGCAGAGCAAGTTGATGGTCACATTTCCCCCTTCAAATTACAAGGTTGTTGGAGAACCAGGCATTT